GAATGGGCTGCCCAGGGAGGTGGTAGAGTCCTCATCACTGGAGGGATTTAAAAGAAGGATAGATGAGGTGCTTAGGGACAGGGTTTAGTGGTGGGATAGCAGGGTTAGGTTAACGGTTGGACTCAATGATCTTAAAAGTCTTTTCCAACCAAAGTGATTCTGTGCTCTGGGTGAACCTGCTTTAGCAGGGGAGTTGGTCTGGATGATCTCCCGAGGTCCCTTCCAACCCCTGCCATTCTGTGATTCTGTGACTGGAAATCCACCTTTCCCTGACACCGAAGAGTGGCGTCATCTGTGTCGCTTTGGCGTTGGCTCTGTGGTGGTACGGTGGCTGATCTCAATCTAGATAACTAGCGAAGCTTTGTGTATTGTGTCATCAGCTTGAGGTTGGCAGATGAACATTTTAATTAATAGCAGCACATTCGCGGCACTACGCAGCGCTTGAGTAAATCTGTCTTCTCAAGATGCGCAGTGTGTATGTGAAACAGCTTTCAAGATGGTTTTGTTTCATTTCTGGAGGAAGCAGGTTATACACCCAAGTCCTATAATCTTGGTGTGGAACCTCTTCGCTGTGTTAAAAACATTTCCAACAATCAGTGGAATGGAGTTGTGTCTTAGGTATGGGAATTTTACAGGAAAATTTACAAAAGTTTGTGCTAGGCATTGTATTACTTAAATAAGAACCACTTTCAACCAGCACCATGTGAGCTTGCATCTCCCCTAGTGAAGAGCTGTCACAGATGGGCTGTCGTCAGTGGTGTTGTGTCATCTTACACTGAATATCTGGCTCCACCGCTTGCTGCCTTTCTTCTAATGAGTCTTCTCTGCCAAAAAAAAAAAGTTGAGCATGAATCCAGTTCTATGGCTTGGCAGCCGCAAGCATCTAAGCATTTTTATTGAGAAGGGGTGGTCTTTGCTATTTAGTTCTGATTTCAAGTGTGTTCCCTCATTGGTTTCTACTTTTCCTGGATATGGGTGAATTTTCTCCTGCAGGTGGAAGAAAGCTGGGGCTGGGAGCAGGAAGACCAGCCTGCCCGCTCTCTGTGCTTGGTTGCACGTGTATCCCTGTCTGTAAGCTGCTGGAACTATCTGGAGAAAATGGAAGGGCTCCATCAGGTGCAGCGTTACAAAACTAAAAAGCACATGAAGTGCAGGTTCAGGTGTGAGTTGTGCAATTTCCCAGGGGTTGCTGAGCTCCTGGTGGACGAACCTGCTCAGCGCGGGCATAACCACTTTGCCATCGCTCTGGCACGGAAGCCACCCCTTGGAAGGGCAACGAGCGGAGTTACCTCTGGTTGTGGAGCCGTCTGCTCGGGTCCCCCACCCCCAGCCGTGTACCTGGTAGATGAAGGCTTCTGTTTCATGGGAAGGTTTGTCCAGCAGAAGAGCCTGTTCCTCCACCGGTCGGGTCCCTACCTCGCCAGAACAGTTCAGGGCTGCTGACTCATGCAAGCCTCTGGCACTAATTAACCACTGCTGGGGGGAGCGGGCAGGGGGTGGGATGGACACGCATGGATCAGCGATTGGTTTGGAGCTGGGAACGGAGGGTGGGATTTGGTGCTTCTGTGTGCTGGGTTACAACATCTGGAGAGGATCTTCTTCCTAGGAGGGCGCGTAGCAGCCGGGGAGGTGGGGGCTCTGGTCGGTAAGCAGGGACTGCTCAGAGTTCAGCATGTCTTTCATCCAGGTAGACAAGGACTCAGATTTTCCTCTCCAAAATCTCCCCTATGGGGTTTTCTCCACTGAGGAGGAGGTGAGTAACAGCAAACTTCATCCTTGGGGGGGTGTTATTGTTCCAAGCCCATGCATAAGAGCAGAAATTCCTGGCAACCTGGGATAAAGGAAAACTTCCCAGTGGGAGTCGCTGCGCGGGCTTCCTGATGTGACAGCCAAACTAGCTGCCGCATGGTCTTTTTTCTTCATGTGGTTGTTTTGATGACAGCTTCTTCAAAATTGCACAAAAGAAATGAAAAGTGTTAATCCTTAGGAGAAGCACTCAGGCTAATACACACGGTAGTTCTTGTGTGGTTTTGATGGGGTTTGTGTGGTTTTGAGCGTTCCTGTGAAATCATTAAATCTGTGTTTGATCCTTTCACCAAGTAGAGGCACGGCACAGTTTGCACCAACTTTTTTTTAACTCAATCCCTCATTTTCTTTGTGGCTGCGTGTAATTGCACTGTCACCCTTAAGAAGCCACATTAAATATTTATTTCAGTCTACTGTTAATTCTATAGCACCCAGTCCCCCTTGCACAACATGAACTGACACAAGGGGAAAGCGAAGTCTGAACTGAAAACAC